CCAGCCTCCTTGCTGGCAGGACAGTATGAGATGCTGGAAAGTCCTTAACTTAGTGCAAACACTGCTTAGCGACTAAAACATCAGCATTTTATCAACATTATTCTCATCCTAAAGCCAAAACACAGCACTATACCAGCCATTAGGAAGAAAATTAACTCTATCCCAGCCAAAACCAGGACAGATGCATATCAACAGAGGATGGCGAGTGGAGAAACAGGAGGAGAGAACAGATCAAAGTAGACAAGTGACGTCTGGACATTGTGACTGTTACTCATCTGAAGTTACTGAGTGCAGTCTGGCTTGCCATGAGCACTTTAGATTTCTTCATTATATATATTAGATGCCGAATATTCTGTTTATTTGTGGTCTGAATTTATTTATATAAAGCAATCTTGATTTTATTCTGGTCTGTTTGGCTTGTGTTTTTTGAAATCACTTTTCAGTTTGTCTGACAGTCACTAAGACTGGTTCCTTAAACATTAACATCTACTGACAAAATAGGAAGGAGGGATTTCTTCTTTCAAATGGCATAAATGAGATGTTTGCTGTTATAGGAAGAATATGGTTTAAACAACCTAAGTTAAAATAAGATGACTGAGCAACTGACTGCTGTACTATTATTAACTGAATAATGTGGCATCTGGGGTTTTGTGAACATGTTTTCATTCATTTCATGTGGCATGATTTATATCCCTAAGGATAAAAAATTTTTTGTCTATGGTAGTTAAGGGCTTAGTTCCTTACATATATTAGTTATTTTTAACATCTTGTCCTTATTGCCCTGGTCCTTTTTATAAAAAAACAAAACCAACCCAACAAAAAAAAAAACAGTATATAGGCAAACTAGTTTCTTTCTATCTTCTTATATAGTATTTGCAGGTAATTTAATACTTCTTCTACAAAAGAATTTTGTGGTAGCCCTAGGAGCAGCAGGTCTGATAGGTAACCACAAAAAACTATTAAAATGTATGCTGAGCAGCGTCAGCTGAGTGATACATATGAGACAACTGTTTCACCCTTCTGATTGTGTATTTAGCTTTTTCACACAACTTTATGATTCCCTACTCAGGATATTTTGTCTAGATCATTTAATTATGAAACACACATGCCCTCATTTACCCAAGCCCACCTGTTTATAGCCAGCTTGACATTTTCATCAGACGCCTCCAGGACCTGTATTTGCCTTATAAATGTTAATGTCGTCGTAGCCTCAGAGGTCACCCTATATTTTCCATTCCACTATTTTTCTGTGGTGCGCTCAGAAAGTTCGCTACTGAACTTTGCTACTTCAAGATGTTGTATGTTTCTTTCAGAGAGACATGGAGGATTAAAAAGTATGATTTTTCAGAAGGCATGCTTAAAAGATTATACCGGGGTTTGGGGTTTTTTTTTCTTTCATGTAATGATCTCTTTTTTTAACTGCACATTAAAATTTATCAACAAAAAAAGCTGAAATTTGCTGACCAGCTGCAAGAGCAGAGCAAAGCAGGCTGTGCAGATAGAGCTGTGGAAAGAACAGATACCAACAAAATAAGTCAGGCAGCAAAGTAATTCAGAAACAAATGTGGGGTTTTTTTCTCTCAGTTATTGCAGTTGTTTTCAGATCAAGATGTACATTTCAAAGTGGTGGCCACCTGCCTGCATCATCGAGGCTTTTAGTGCTTTGGGCTTTGTGCAGGGCAGCTGAGCATGGAGATGGCACAGCAGCTGTTTGAAGACGGGATGACTTTCAGCCAGGCCCAGCTCCATCTCATCTCCTTGGACTAAGTTCAACGTTCCCGAATGTTGTGATGAAAGCCCAGAGTTACCGCACAGCTGTCCTATATGATCATTATTATCCTTTCAGTGGTGCGTTTACCCCTTGGAAGTAGAATCCTCTGTTGTAAAAGCCACGCTCAGGGCTGTATTCTGCTCTCTTCTGGGAATGCGGCATCTCAGACCCGTGGCTGTTTACATCAAACAGCTGATGTAAAAAAGCCACCCGCTCTTTGGTGTAATTTGGCCTCCACTGGGCACTTCTGCAACTGGTGTCGTTTGCAAGCCCGTGGGTTTAATAAGGTAACTTACCATACCCGTACTTCAGAGGCCGAAGGTGCTTATCTTCTCTTCGTAATTTTAGAGCCAAGCCTGCAAGCATTTGCTACTGAACTTGGCTACTACAGACAGAAACAGCTCCATTGACTTCAAATGTGACAACATGTTACGTAGTAAGCTTGGAACTAACCTATTACCATGTCCATAACGTGGGTTTATAGCAACCCCATTCATTTTTAAGCAGGACTGACCACAGAAATCGACAGAATTGCACAAAATAATCGTATCAGAGAAGAACGAGTAACTCTTTACTCAGGCTTCTCCGGTTTCCTGCAGCTTCTAACTTTTTCTTCTTTTCCACCCCTTGTATTAATAATCCCATAGAAACCCTCACATATGCACATAACCCCAGGAGCAGAAGGGGAATACATATTCCTAGGAAGTCCCCAGAGCAAGCTGGTGAAAGGAGGAGAATTTTGCCCATATTTTTAATCTCAATATCCAGTCAGCAATGCCCTCCAGACTCAACTGCAAGAGAGGGCTCTAATCTCTGTGGAGGTTCACATCTGTGCTGCCTTCTTGGATGAGGAATCTTTCTTCCCCTTTTTGGAGCAATATATATTGGGCACACGGTGGCCTAAACCAGTTAATCACAGGTGTGAATTCTTATTTTTCTGTCTTATTTTTCAAGGTACTTATTTTTCTGTCTCCTATCCTGTTATCCTTGTTATCAGCTATGTTATCAGTTATGAAGCTATGTTATCAGCTTATTCTAAGGCTTTTAAGAGTTTGAACTGGGTTCCAAAAGCACATGTAATAAGTTGAGGCTTCTTCCATCTCTACAATTTATGCTAGTGAACTAAAGCCCAGTGCAGAACCACCCCAGAATAAAAATTGCTAGTTATCTCCTCCCAGATAGATACAAACCTCTTCATTTTCACAGCTTATCCTTTCTTTGTCCTGTGCAGAAAAGAAAAAGTATAGGAAACTTCATAAAGTTGGATATAGGGGCCTAATAATAAGGAAAGATAGTTTCATATTAGCATTAATCCCTATTAGCATTGGATTGACTCATATTGGGGAACTCTGGCTGCAAGATGGGACCTTCTCTGCCCCCACGGGAGCTATTTGGCTAGGCAGGGCAGGAGCCCATGGAGCCAGCCCAGATCCCACTGCAGCTTAGCACACAGTTTTCTCTTGCTGCTGTGGGAGCAGGATTACCATCTCTAAACAGCTCAAATTTGGATGAAGAATTTGCATTGTGACATTCTAACATGGGATGAACATGTTAGAATGCTTAAGGCAACCCATTCTTTTGGCAACGCATCTCTGTGGCAGGAGGTGCTAGTGGGTCCTCAAGGCAACACAAGAGCCATGCAATCGCGAAAGACAGAATAAAAAACATACACAAAATCTGTAGCCACATCGCATCCACTTTTTCCTTCTGCCCAGCGTTTCAGGAGACAGCAGGCCATCTGCAGACTCACCAGAAATGTCCAGCTCTGCAAGCCAGTGCCATATACGAGGTCCTCTTTGCTCTTCTTTAAAACAAGGAGATCTTGAGCATGCTGGGGACGGTTCTCCTTAGATGCAGAAGGGGAAGGCGCACTTCAGCAGCCGAGAATCACAAGCAGCCTCTTGCTAGCTTGATGAAGCCTTGCTGGCTGTGCGCCCCGGTGTTTTGCCATTGATGACTTGACAAACTCTCTTCAGCTATCTATCTCCCTTGCCAATGCTTTTTTTTCACTGCCTCTTGGAAGTTATGGCACTAGGCATGCTGCAGCATATATTTTTTTCTTGTGAGTGGTAAAAAAGAGCAATTGGATGCATGAGGTTTCTTTCCAGAAAGCTGGTTTATGCTCTGTAATGAGGTTTGTCCTTATTTTTATCAGGATTAACCTATAAGATTCATACTTGAAGTTAAGCTCTGATGTCTTTCTGCCTAACATGACTGACTTGGATTTATATATATGCATATCAGCCTTAAAAGCTTTTAGAGCACTTCTCTAAATAAAATTAGCATTAGTACGCTTCAATTGTGCAAAATACTCAAGGGAGAGCAAATCTCATGAGAGGCATGACTCTGCATCCCCTTTTTTTCCCTACCTAGTGCCTAACTCCACTTGCAATGGCTTTGACGAGGCTGTCCCAAGGGCTTACAGAACATCTCCGGGAAAGCAGATCTGCTTCGTTGCGACTGTGCGTTTGGCAACACCTCAGTTTTTAAAGGTAAGTGTTTACCTTGGGTCCCATTTATTTCCAGACTTCTCAAAACACTTTCAGAGGGGGTGACACACAACGTTCTTAGTTTTGCTAATTGAATGGATTACAGATATCACATTTCATGCATCCAGTGAAAAGGATTATCAGCGTGAGCCAGGATCTGCGGAAGCGGTGTCATTTCTGCACCCCTTGCATGGGAAATAATAGAAACCCTCCTTTGCATTGCAAAGTCACTTTGAAATTGGGTTCTTCATTGCCTTCTGTTCCTGCGATGGGACAGTATACAGATGGCCACCAACACTTTCATTTGTGCCCCCTGGTGTCTTTGGGTGACTGCTGCTAGTTTCCCTCCTCTCAAATCCTGGTAGTAAGATAGCTGCTTGTGGAAATAAGGATAGACCACCCAACCTTGTGCCTGGCACTGCGGTTCCCTAATTAACAAATGTGAGGAGGTGTCCTGTCCTCAGAAGTTAAGAGATTTTTGATCTAATTGAGACCTAGCTGGTATGAAATCACTGCTCCCTTGGCCTGGCTCCGTTACTGCTCCGGGACTTGTAGGGCTCTCTTGACTGATTCACGGCCCCGGCAGCCAAGTAGAGTCCCTTCTAGGTAAGTGAGGACACTTCCCATCAATCTCAACCACAGTAATCGTATTAGCAGTAGGGGCCGGAATTAAGGTTCTCAGGGAACCCTGAAAGCAAATTCCCTTGTCTTTGAGTAGCTAACATCTCAAAATAAACAAGGAGGCAAAATGGGCTACACGTGGCAATGAGCTGCCCAGTGCTAGGGAGGAAGCAGATGCTGAACAACCTGGAGACGGTGTTAGCTGCCACGAAATCCTAGACGCTGCTCTCTTCAGTTCACCTGGTGACTCACTTAACCCCCACTCTTGACTTCCTCGTCTAAAATGAAGGCAGAAACATTTATCTGACTGTCTAAGGAAGGCAGAATCAGGATTTTGGTTGCACACAGCCATGTTTGCATGCTGCACTTTGAATTTTAGGGTATGTTCTTGGCATCAGGACGGATTTTGGTGTAAACTGGAGAGGGGAGGAGAGAGGAATTTAAGGTATGCATGAAGCCTTTTGGCTCTGTACAGCCAGCAACTTTAATCAACTTTGTTAGCATTGATATGTATCAAAGAAATGCTTGATGGCAGCGTGCCTCAGCTTGTCCTCTGGTCCCAGAGGGTTTAAAACATTGCTGGCCTGAAAGTCTTCTCTCCCCAAGAGCATCAGCAGAGAGAGAAGTGGCAGTGGAGACGATGGGAGGATGTTGCTGAGCCCACAGCACAGGGGGACGTGGCACCACGGAGCAGGGGACAGCAGCACTGAGGACCAGTGGACAGGCTCTCCTTATCAGTCATGATGGAGACCCTCCTGCAGGAGAGACATGAGGGACACAGTAACCCTGGATGCCACCAAATCCTGAGCGCTGGTGTTGGCAAGCCCCAGGCCGGGGGTCTCCAGGCTGACTCTAGGCAGCCGGCGGAGCTGGAGCTGCCCCGGCAAACCGCCAGTGGGAGAGGAGGGGTCAGCAGAGGGGGGCTGGGAGCCAGCTGTAGGGCACGCAGCCAGCCCCAGCCCACGCGCGGGCCTGCGCCATGGTGCCGTGCTTCTCCCCTTCCCACCGCCACCCGACGACTAATCGCCCCCGACTGCCTCCTGATCCTCACGGGCAGCCCTGTGTCCTGCCTCCTGAAATACACTTCTTAATTATTGTCAGTAAGGGCTGCTGCGCGCCTCAAGGGCCAGCTTCTTCACGGTGGGAGTGAAGCGCAAGGCAGAACCACCGCCCTTCCCCCGCCCGACAGGCTCCCTGAAAAGGCATTTACTATGGAGCGGGAAGGAGAGTCTCCCCCTTTCCCAAGAGGGGAGGGCAGATGTCCGAAAGGGCCGAGCAAGGGCAGTGGGTATCTTAAGTAACACAACAGAGAGTGAGGAAAGATGTGGCAAACCCAGGTGGGACCAAGCACAGGCCGGATGCCGGGGAAGGGCACTGCTGCTCGGGGCCGTTGGGGGCACAGCCATCACAGCCCGGGCACGCCTCAGAGCCGTAAAAACTTCGGCACCCCGAGGAACAGTCTCAGCTCTGAAGTCCGTGTGCATCACAAGTCCGTCTCCCCAACTCCTGCAAAAACGCTGGCATTGCTAAACACAACAGAGTGCTCTCTGGAATTGCCAGGAAACATCCGAATCCTCTGTTTTCCCCTCCCATGCACGGCGTATTTATAGCTAACGAAAGCTAGATGAAGCAGAGGGGTGAAGCTGCAACTCTCAGCAAGCTGGTTTTCTTCACCATACAGGAGATGTGCATCGTGGAAGAACCTCTAGAGGAATTCACATCAAGACACAGTCTGGAGTGGAAATTTTTATTCCTGGATCACAGGTTGGTGACAAGAAAAGCACTCCTGGTTGTGTTCAGTGCTTGTCTACTGCTAATTTTTTTAATACTCAATACACTCAAATAGTGTTCTGTTTCACATCTAAATTGCATGAACAGGAGGACTGCCACTGAAATTCCTGAAAAAACTGATGTTTACTATTTTACATTTATTTTTGCACTTATTTTTACCAGTCTTCTAAAACAAAACTACTCTGTTTCTCAGGCCAAATTTGTGATAAACTTGTTCTTGTTTCTTTTAAAAACATCGGTCGACCAAAGACTGTCACATGGCAAAATGATCTAATTATTATACAGCTGCAGAAATCATTCTTCCCAAATCCAGGCATTGATTGTGTGTGTGCAATTCCCACCGAGTTACAGAAGGAAAGTCTGTGCTGGCCTGAGGCAACCATGCTGGCAAAGGTACAAAGCAACTGCCTCAGCACGCCACGGACGAGCTCTGCAGGCACCTGGAGGGAAGCTCCACAGATGATCTCCCCTCCTACCCCCCTAGTCCCAGCAGATGAATGCTTCCTATCACCTCGCCACGTGTTTTTTTCCTGTGCAGGGACTGCAGGAGCCACAGCAGAGCCCCTGACCAGGGAACAGCCAGGGAACGGCTGCCCCACAGCAGGTCCTTGAGTCCCTGAGCAGCTGAGTTTCTTTCCACAACCACATTTTCCCAGGAAAGATGGGATTGTCATGGTCTTGTCCTTGGGGGGACGGTGCCCGCCGGCACTCCCGTGTCCAGCCTGGCACCCCGGGCACAAGGCAGGGGAAAGTCAGGGTCTGGTCCCCTGGGGACAACTGTACACCAACGAGCGAGAGCTGGTCTGGGCTTTTTACATATCCGTGTCGACATGCAGAACTGCTGTTTCTTTTGTGGTTTATGAATTCACTCGTATTGTGCCTAACCGCAGAGCACCGCCGATTATAGGATACTTGCCTTTTGAAGTGCTGGGTACTTCTGGCTACGACTATTACCATATAGATGACCTAGAGCTGCTAGCAAGGTGCCACGAACACTGTAAGTATCGCATAGACCAGGTTCCTGTAGAGTCACTTGGGACACCTCTTTTCACTGAAATGTAGTTTCAGTTAAAATTGATTTAAACTTGTAAGCCGACGTTTGACCCTTGCCTCATACCTGGTGGACTTATAGCAGATTGGGGGCACCGCAGCTGACCAGCGTCTGGGCCAGACTTATCAAGCTCTGAAAAATACAATTTTACTTTCTGTATCCCCAAAAGCAGTCAGCGAGACTCACTGAATGGATAAAATACATCAGATTAGACTCCTGCCCTACTAGTAAAGAATGTACAGGAATAGTTCAAGCAATCTCAGAGGAGATCCTGTTTTGTAAAATGCTGGTGGATTATTTACCCTAATGTTGTTCACCATGTCTCTGAGATTACTTGTGATTATTTAAATATAGTCTATTAAGATGTAATTGAAAAATTCTTTCACTAAGTAAAGAAAATGAGTCAATGCTTTTCAAATATTTGCTTACAGAACTGGCTGGAACTTCTCAGCTAACCACTTCTGGGTGTCCTGAAAAAATCCCATCAACATTAGTTTTTATATGTTGACATTAAAATATAGAAAGGCTAAATATGTGCATGTTTGATTAGTTTTGTTGGTGAACCTTTAAAACCTTCAATACACCCCAGTTTACTGCAGTTTGAATTCTTGTCAGTCTGGGAATTTTCTTTCAGTTTCAAATGATTTTTATCTTTGCACAATGTTATCTCCTATACCCCCTCCGTTCTGAATCTGTCTGCACACAATACTCATCTTTTCAAACATTTTTATCCTGTACTTTTCTGCTATAGAATTTAAGATGATCACTCCTAGAAATTAATCCCAGATGCCTAATTAAGCAGTATGTGATCAGCACATAAACCAGGGTAAGATCTGTGTTTAATTTGTAGCAGACACTAATGCATTAGTGTCCCAAGTTAAGGTTAATTGTACTGTGTTGTGTAGGAATGTACCGTTCAAAGTGTCAGAAGAAGATACCTACTGACCTTTATGACCTTTTGCTCTATCATAAGACAGGACCACTCACTCGAAAGGTGCTTAGACTCCTGTCTCCCTTGGGAATCAATGGGGCCACAGATATTTTTATCACTCTTTTCACATTTCATGTCATTTTCACGTCAGAAATTGTGCTACAAGCTGTGTGTATTTTCTGCTGACAGTGATGCAGTTTGGCAAGGGGAAGTCGTGCTGCTATCGGTTTCTGACCAAAGGACAGCAGTGGATCTGGCTCCAGACCCATTACTATATCACCTACCACCAGTGGAACTCCAAGCCAGAGTTCATTGTGTGCACACACATGGTGGTAAGGTACGGAAAAGCACATCAACTGGTGGGGACACAGAGGACATAAGATAAGGGCATCCTCATGACTGTCAACATTTTCTCTTAAAAACTTAATGTCTTTTACATAACAAAAAAAAATAAGCCTGAACTCTCTGAAGGAAGTATGTTCACTATAGAAAAATCATCAGACTAAACCTTGCTTTATGCTAAGCTTGATTTGTCAATCATGAGTTTAGGGGCAGATTAACTCTTGCATTTTTCCATTTTGTGCAAAAATAGAGAGTAGACAGATCCCTTAACTATTCATTTCCCCTAATCCTTATGTTGTTTTGAATGAGGTGTGTGGAAGCTTTCCAATGAAGTCATAAAATGGTTGTAGGATGCAAACTTGCCCTTTATATATACTTCTTTAATATACTTCTTGATTTCAGGAAGATAGGAACAGAGCAAAAACGGAAAATTAAAACAGTCTCTCATATGTTATTTAGAAGCATTTGACTTAACTGTTTTTTCAGCTGTTCATTTAACCTGTAAAATGTTACAATAATTTGTTTCTCTTGCTTAAAGCACAGCTTATAAAATATGACAATACCATGTTGATACATAGAATTATATTTTCCATTCAGTTATGCAGATGTTCGGGTGGAGAGGAGACAGGAGATGGGCTTGGAAGAAGTGTCCTCAGAGGTTGTGTCCTCAGCACTAAAGGTACAATGAGAAAAGTTTTTTTCATGAATATATGTAATAATCACAACTTGTTCCTATGTTAATGTCACTGAAGACTCCAGCATTGTCTGTCTGGGTAGATTCCCTCAACTTCAGAATTCATTGCTCACTTGAATAATTTTAACGTAAATTGGGTAAGTTCATGAAAGGATAAACCTGGAGATCAGTAACAGCCACAAATGAAGTGGAATCATGGGCAGGGGCAATGTGAGAGATTTCCACCTTTCCTTGGCGAAGTACTTCAGTTTAAAGATCCATTTGGACACGTTCTGGCAATCAGCCTTCTTGGCTACCTCTCAGCAATCTGCTGAGGGAAGAAAGAAAGGCTCCTCCTCCGTGCACGGCTGAGTGTCTCACAGAGGTTGCAGTTGCTGTCACATCCAACTGAACGCAAAAGAAAGATTCAGAAAAACATGTGAAGGCACAAAATTACTATGGCAGTAGCTTGCTACTTATTTCCAGTTCAGTGATAGCTCTTTGTAAAATGCGTTAGTCGGATGCTATTTGGAAGGGATATTGACACCTGTGCCCCAGATCTTCTGCTGGCCTACCTGGGATTAGCTCTGCTCAAGTCATTTTAAGCCAGCCAAAGAACTGGGTGTGGCACCATTACTAGATGCATTTCAAAATGTTTTTACTTTGACAGATGCAATAGCTTTTCCCTTTTTTTGGTCTGTTTTAGGACAGTGGGACCAGCTTGGATCCTGAACAGCACTTTAATGCACTTGATATTGGTGCCTCAATCCTCAGCGCTAGTCGGACACCCTCAGTATCATCCAGGAGTTCACCAAAATCTTCCCACACACCCAAGTCAGACCCAGCATGTGAGTGACATTCCTGGGTTACTGCATTATTTTTAATTTAGCCAAGTTACAGAATGTGTGCCTATATACCACAGCTCCTAATTTAACAGTTATTTATTAGGTATCAATGATGCGTGTTTGTCACTGACAATGAAGTGCATAATCTGAAATGGTAACGTACAAGAGGGACGGTTCTAGTGCAACCACCTATACACTGGAAAATGAGTAGTGGGACTAGCTGTGAGACCTGCTGTTTGAAGCGGGCATGAAAATAAGGACTTCTGTCTTCAGATTTGAGGGCATCAGTATGGGCAATATCAGGCCCCTCTAGACTTACATGAGTAATAACAGACTGTGGGTAATTCTCTTCTGACCAAGAATCAGGATGCTCCAGTCTTGACTTGGGCACACTTTATACACTCTTT